GAACCGTCAGCTTTAATGCTTGTATGGATAAAAGATATACAAATTAAATGCCTGGAAATATTAAATGTGCAGTATCGGCTTTAATTTAGCTGCAACTTTATTAACTCATCAGGGAACTACCTAGCAATAAATCATAATACTGTGTTCCACCATTCCTTCTCCAACCCACTCTGCTTTTTGGCAGCTGCAGCGTGCATCACCCCTACTTCAGTCCTGGCTCAGCCATTATTTTTAAAATCCCTCTCCCTGTGGTACTAGAAAACGGAGTTGAAGCTTTAAAGTTTCCAGTACTAAATGCAAGGGTTCACTTCCAGGACTTTTTTTAGGAGGATCTTTTTAAATAAGTTTCCTTCCAACTCTAACTTACCAGATAAATGATCACTCCATGGAAACAGTCCACTGAACACTGAATCTGGAGTGAAAAACTGCTCTGTTACTAACCCAGCTAACTGAAAATCAATGGCAAATTCAAGTGGTCCTGTCATTTCCCAAATGAGGGAGAAGTCCCTTATGCCTACTCTAAAAAAAAAACAAAAAAAACCAAATTACAGGTCAAACCTTTAAAAGTGATTACTTTTTCTTTTCTTGTCTGGCTCAGGCAAACTCTAATATTGAAAATAACTAATTCTGGCCTTTTCTTCAGGTAACATTTAATTATCGTACTTTGATAACAAAAGTACTAAAATCGATATATTAATCTTAAGGTGGAAAACTCCAGTCTAGTGGAAAGAAAACTATATATTTATTTTTAACCTGGAATCATATGTATTAAAGAAAATGTGCAACGTACCTCGTCCATCCACAGTAATACCGACTCCACTGCTGCACAGGCCATGGAATTCAGCTACTCAATCGAAGCCAGAGATGTTGGGGAAAAGAGAAAATATTATTGCACCTTCTTTAATCCTAAACCAAATCCACCAATCTTTTTTCCAAAATTATTTTTCTGAAATGTAACTAATAAAATTCCAATGTTCACATAAATTAACTATTTATAGCTAACATAGCTAAATACATCAAGGACCATTCCACCTTGAAATTTCACATGTATACAAAAATGAAACTTGATAACAAGAATTAAATGCTCAAGCAATTTCACTACAGTCTTGGCAGTACTATCTCCTTAAATTACTGCTTCCAACCATGTTAGTTTAACTACATTTCTTCAAAACAGTCTTCTGCTATCTCAGAAAACTTACACTGAATGAAAATACTGTCAAAGACACATTACCTCAGTTCTACATTCATGAGGTTTTCCTGGTCAATCCCTAGGTTTATTTGGAGAACTGATTCTTATAAAACGAAATACAGATTTCTAAATTTAACATGGGCTCTCTTATAAACTGGATTGATTTGACTAGTAAATTTACAGATGCATCACATAACTCTGCTTGTTCTCTTTAAAACATTATTACTTATAGCCAACATGTGATTCAGGGACCAAATTTTATCCATAGCATAGTCATGTCCTTTGTCTCACATTTTGTCACATTCCGGCCAGCTCTGGAACCAGGTTCCCCTCAAACATTACAACGCATAAAACCACAAACAGTCAACATAAAATACCAGTTTTCCTTTAAAGAAGAAACTATTTCCAGAATCAGTGTACAATTCCATTAAGCACTTTGCTCACTTATCTTTTTAAAATGAAGTTAAAATGTACATAAAATGAATAAATGAACAACCTGATCTGAACAAGATTTTTTTAAACCTGTATGTTTACCCTAGTATTCAAAGAAGCAGAAAATTTCACCTGAGTTTTTAGCAGGGCAGGGCTGACATGGCTCTCCAAAACCATAATCAGGATTGGCACAACAACATTCAGACTTTGTCACAGCACCAGGGAAAGGACGGACACACGCTCCTGTTTTGATACTTCCATAGCATGTGCTACGCATATGAGTATCTAAGACAGGACAAGCAAAGAAATAACTTATTTCCTTAGGCTGAGGGTGAAATGTATGCATAATAGCTCAACGAGAGCTAAAAAAATTTATTTTGTTCAACAAAGTGGCTATATTGGCTACATCCACATTGCTCTGTGAGAATAATCCTGATGGCATCAAGGCCAATTCTCAAAACAGTTAGCTCCTGAAGCTCTCTCCAGAGCACTTTAAAATCACCTAGACTAGCATATTGTGAGCAAATTTAGGAGCATTCTGTAGAACCAGCAAAGATGATTCACACACCAGAACAGCTCTGTAAATCTGTCAACACATATCTCAATAAGAAACACAGAATGGCATGTGGTAACTAATTTTTCCCTTTGAGAAGTACTACAACCATAACCTGGATACACAGATCTCTTATTTATTTCAAAAATAGTTCCTCATTCAGGACAACTCACCAGAAGTCCAGGGCTGGTAATACAGGAGGCTACCTAAATCTGGAAGCAGGAGCAGTATTTATGGTATTTACAAATTCTGATGAGAAATGCAGTTTCAGCAGATTGCTCAGATCAGCATTTATATGACATGCCTATCTTAAAAGGTTTACATGTAAACTGGCAGCAGTGCTGGATGAGGGTTAGGGTTTAGGTCCAAACACATAGCTAGCAACAGTAATTTAGCAATTCTTACACATCATGAGGTAGTGGGGAAAGCACCACTACTGCCTAGACTGTAAGAAATTTCTGGAGATTTGTGACTGAAAAGCCACTGCAAAAGTTACAGTGTCACCCCTGGAGAGAGATCTAGAAAGGATGGCCAGGACAAACCATCACTTATGTCACAAAGAAAACACACAATACCTGGAAGGTCTCCGATCTTGAAAATCATGCCATAACAGACAGCAGAAAAATTACACAGGACAGCCACACAGCTGCAGGACTCATGCGCACATCGTCAGTCTTGCAGCTAATTTAGTCATTCAGTCATTTGCCTGACTTTACAATTAAGATGTACTAACATCCATCTTCCAAGGCAGGCCTTCAGCCCTAACTTTGCAGGTATAAACAGCTGCTATACTTATTAAAGAACTATGAGAATGTCTCTTAGGGTGCTTTTCGTGTGTTTTGGTTTGCTTTTTTTTTGTTATTCTGTTTTTTTTTTCATTATTTCAGAGTTAGCTGCCTTCTTTGTATTTGCTTATAGAATAATACTGGAGATCTTCTAATAAGCATTTGAGTGCTTAGTCCACCTAAATGTGTGTTTGACCACTGCAGGATAGAGATGGAGTAAACATCCTTTATTTTTCACCCCATACTTCTACTGACACTTGTTGGAGCTACAAAAATACTCTTTGCTTCAAGCATCTTTATGGACCAGGCCAGAATGTGGCTTTAATCTATGCTCCCTGTCAATCTCCCAGTAAAACTACCATAAACTGTGGCCTGGACATGAGCCTAGGTGCACTCAGAAACTGAGTAGATCTCAGGGAATCCAGACAGTTACCTGCTGTCTTGGGTTCAGCCAGGATAGGTTTAATTTTCACAGGCAGCTGTAAGGAGTCACAGCGAGGACAGACCACCGAACCAGCCAATGGGATATTTGATACCAGTATGACATCATTCTCTCTGTATAAAGTGGGAACCTGGCTGGGGGTTCCAGGTGGTGAGCAGTTGCATTGTATGTCATTCATTTTACATATTATTTCATTACTATTATTGTTATTACTGTTGTTTCTTCTTTGTGTTGTTCTGTTAAGCTCTCCTTATCTCAACCTACAGGGTTTTTATCTTTGTTTCCTAATTCTCCATCCCATCCTGCGTGAGAAGAGTAAGCAAGTAGCTGTATGGTCCTTAGTTGCTGGCTGGGCCTAAACCATGACACCTACACAAAAGATGACCCCAAACCAACAAAGAAAATTCCATGAAAAAACCTACAGTGGATACTGAATAGCCTGTGCCAAACCAAATAAGAACTGGCAATTCCTTATGTGTTCTGTCTGGTCTTTGAGTGTTGTAAGCTGGCTCCTATAAAATAGGACTGTCTGTACATAAATGTTCTTTCTTGCTTTTGGTGTCCCATGGAACAGATAGTTCTGGAGCATAGTTAAATGTGTCCCAGATTTCAGGGATTACTCCTTGCCAAGAGTCTAGGTGAAGCCAGTACAATTTGCTTGCGCTTGACAGCCGGAAAATGTTATTGTGGTTGACAACGATCAAGAATTTTTGCACAAGAAATTTCTGTTCATGTACTCTGCAAAATAACTGGTTGCATCACAACCTTTCCCTCCATTCCTAACAAGTCCAGATGCCACTCTGCCATGCTCTGTCACAAAAGAAAGGGCCTCTTCGATCATTGCCCAGTCACTAAAGGGAAGTCTTCCCCCTAGTTATCTGTCTGGGAGAGAACAGAGAAGCAATTTAAAGAAATGTCACTGAGGGAAACTGCAGGGGGAGAATAGAATGGAAAAGTGCTAAAGAAATATTCTGCAGGAAAGCTGTGAAGTGTGGGAAGCAGCTGAAGGAAGGTACAGATGTACTGAGCAACTGCCCTCCATAAGAGAGCAAATGCTTTTCAACATAAATCAATGTTTTTATAGAAGCAGCACAGGGATTTTAGGGAGGGCTGCCTAACTAGCTGTAGGAAAACAGTCTTAATAATATGAGGCCCACAGTCAGGGCCTCATAAAGCCTGTGCAGGATGAATAACCAAGCTGCCTCCCCCAGAACCAAAACAGCATTTATATGACAAGAAGAATGTCTTCCCTGGGCTGTGCTTCCCATGCTGACAGGAAGGATGAGAACGACAGGCACTGCTTTGGCCATGACTAGTTGCTGTAGGGACCTCACCAAGCTCATGTTCCCCATCTCGTGACAGTTCTGAGCATGCACCTTGTCAATGAACTTGCTGTACTCCCCATGTATGGTTTGATCAGCCTTTGGCTACTAATTTCACAACATGCAGTACTTATTTTACACCCTGGATCAGAGTTTAGCATTGGTGCTGCTGTAATCATGTACCTGCTTGTGGAAAACTACTC